AGACAATTAGGAAGTGATGAAACTCCCTTGAAGTTCTTGGCATTAAACTTTGACTGAATTAAAGGAACTATTCCTTAATTTTTGCAGTTTTAGCTTTGATGTAATGATTAAAATGCTTGGCATTTAGAATGGGTGGTAATTTTATTTCTTACGAAGATTAATTTTATAACTTGACCTTGAGATTAATAATTTCATTTATAGTTTTGATGAAAATCATGCAAATATTTCCTCAACTTAATATTTGCTTTCAAAGCATTTTTTAATTTTTTAAATATTTTTTAAAGGTTATTATTTCTATTCATAGGTAAAAATCCAATAATGTTGTGAAACTTGAAATAGAATATTAGCATAGAATTTTGAGAATTCTGTTTTATTTATTTAGTTTTGGGTTTTGGGCCACACCTTGTAGTGCTCAGGGCTTACTTCTGGCTCTGTGCTCGGTGATCACTCCTATGGGATTCTGGGGATCATATGGGATCAAATCCAGTTAGCTTTATGAAAGACAAGTTGCTCGACCTATTGTAGTGTTGCTTCAGCCCCAAATTCTGAGGATTTGTAAGTAGTTCTGGTGCTAAGACAAAAATTTGTTTGACCCACAATGACTATTTTCAAATATTAAAATCTATAGATTCATGAAATCCTTTTGCAAAGACATGAGACACATTCAGAAAGAAAAGCCATAGGTTTTATTCAGTTTCCCATTGGAGGTCCTTGGCCTCAATGCTCTATGTAAAATTATTTGTACATTTGAGAGACAAATGCAGCAAGGGTGAGAAGAGAGACCTTTGAAACAAGAGTAACAGCATTCTAGAATCTCCTCAGGCCTTCTTTACCAGGGAAGTAGAATACATGAAGACAAAAATCTGCATGGTTGCCTTAGAGACAATAAAGATATTTCTTCATGTGTATTTGTAAGACAGGTGGAAGAGCAAAAGAAACATAACTTGGAGAGTCTGTAGACTTGAGTTCAGTTGATAGGTTTGGCAATTATGGGGCTAATGTCATTAAATTAGTTAAACTTAGCTTTTCACTCGTGTGTGTGTGTGTGTGTGTGTGTGTGTGTGTGTGTGTGTATGTTTGGGGGAGGTGGGTCATACCTGGAGTTGCTCAGGACTTACTGCTGACTCTGTGTTGAGTACTGTTTTGAGTACTTAGACTGTATTTTTTGTTTGTTACTTTTAGGCTTGTGGACCTTACCCAGTGATACTCAGGGCTCACTCCGGGTTCTGTTCTCTGGCATCACTCTTGGCAGGGCTTGGTGGACCATATGTGGTGCCACGGATTGAACCCAGATCAGCCATGTGCAAGGAAAGCACCCTGCCTGCATTAATATTTCTCCAGTCCCTAAATAGGCCTCATTTAAAAAATACCATAGTGATTTCTAGTTTTTTTTTCATTTTAAACATTTGAAATTAAAAAAACAATTCTTTTTTCTGTATTTTTTTAGTTGAGTGGGATACTCTCTTTAAATCTTTTAATATTTTAAAACATTTTAAAATATTCACATCTATTCAAAAGAAGAAGCATAAATTGCTGACATTTGGCAAAATATGGGGAATCCCATAAGTCTAGTAGCAGGTGGCAAGCAGGGGGAAGTTCTGTGGTTACAAATGTTCAAGAAAGACTGAAAATATAGAACAGTTTGTGTCCCGATACAGTAAAGGTTGATTACTTATGCTTCTCTTTGGTTTCAAACTTCTACACGTCAACAAAATTGTTTTCAGTTAAATTATTGGGTTTTACCAATAATTTGTGTGCATTGCAGAAATTTGACAAAGATTTTAGCTTTCCAAAATACCATCATTTAACTTGAGATATATAGTAGGAGGTAGGAGTCCTTCCATTGAGCATTTTTTTTTCTCCCTGAGACACAGTCTAATTCAGGCTTTCTTATTGGGTTTATTACTTCAGCCAATATTCAAATGTTATTTTTGAGTTCTTCATATTAAAATAATCTAAACACACTATTAACTTAGCAGTTTATCAAGAATATTATAAACTAAAAGTATCATGTCCTAATCCAAACCCAAAACTTTTTCCCACTGGTAATAGCTATCCATGAGCATACGAAGTCAACTGGAGTTCCAGTTTAAGGCTTTAAACACACACACACACACACACACACACAGTATGAAGTACATTGAGTATGATACAAACATTATCAATGCGATTTTTGTAATGATAATATCAGGGTATTTAAATGTTTCATTTATATAATTTTAAATTTTTGAGAACTGAGGGAATAATAATGATGTATTAGGATTTTGAAATATATCAGTAATGCTAGAAAATAATCAGTACCACTATGGTAACACATTTTTGCCACAAAACAGAGTCATAAACTATTTTATGTGGCTGAACTTGAGCATGATAAAGATGAGTGCTACCTAAATATATTTTGCTTTAGTTAGATTGAGGCAAGAGTAACTCAGGAGCTAAAGAGTGAATTAAATGGTATCTTAACAACAGCTTTCCTCTTTTGAAGTCAGATATCTTACATGATTCCATTACATTTCTAGAAGATATCGTATTTGTAAATGTATCTTATAGGCCTTTATCTTTACCCAAGTGAAGATCTCTAATAGTATTAAATGGTGTAAGATATGGAAAATTTAGAGATTGTTCTTTACATAGTTGAAACCAGTACTAATTTTTTAAAAAAATTTTATTAGTGAAACACCATGAGGTACAGTTGTAGATTTACAATTTTTTGTCTTGGGTTTCAATTATACAATGATCAAACACCCATCCCTCCACCAGTGCCCATTTTCCACCACCACGGGTCCCAGGATCCCTCCCACCCCCCATCTCCCCATCCCATCCTGCCTCTGTGGCAGGGCATTCCCTTTTGTTCTCTCTCTCCTTTTGGGTGTTGTGAAAACCGGTACTAATTTTTATCTAAATATGATAAATGTTACACTTCCTATAGTCCTAAAAACTTATCAGTGAGCTCAGGAGCTACATATTCTTACTAAAACAGTTATGCTACTGTATCTTTTATTATTATTTGTTTAAATGGTACTTACCAAGTATTATTTTGGAGTACCAGGTAAAGTCATATGAGGAAATAGAACTTTAGCATATAGAAGGAAAGTAAGAACTATCCTCTGTAGTGGTTAATATTTATCATCTTTATGAATAGAATAGATACTGCTGTTAAACCAAGCAAAATATTTTGTCATTCAGAGTGGAAATTTGAAAAGAAATTTAAACTCTTTGGAACTTTAACATAACATTGTTTCAAAGTAGAACATATTGGTTTATAGCAAAAATGATCTATAGCATGGCTTTAACAAAATGGCTCAGGAAATAAGAAAGAACTGCATTAAAGATAGATGGCAAGGGTTAGAGAGACAATATACTGGGTAAATATTTGCCTTGTATGTCACTGACCCAGATTAGGTCCTCAGCACCACATAATGTTCCTTATGACCTGCAGGAGTGATCCCTTTGTACAGAGCCAGGAGTAAGCCCTAAGCACTATCTCCTTTGTGCTCCCAAATAAAAACAAACCAAAAAAAAAGATTATATTATTACTTATATGTTCTGTGAATCAGCCTAAGTATGTCTTATATGTTAGGTACATATATTCTTCCAGTGAATATACACTGAGCAGCACAGATTCATTTTTTTATTGAAATATTTTGCACATTTTCCTGACATTGTGAATTTAGAATTATTATAGGTTCTGAGATTTGCTTTAGCTCTGTGGTTTCTACATTTAGATCTCTCTGCTTAAAATTTGGTATTTATATCAAGTGAAACCATGGCAATGAACCTTCCAGGATGGAAGTTCATGAGGAGCCATGGAACATTCTGAAAAGATCATGAGCTTTGGAATCCAGTAGCTGTAATTTTGAAATCCAGTCCTATCAGTTTCTAGATGAATAATCTGGAATTAGTAGATTTTTAAAACATAGGTAGATTTCTTAACCTCTTCATTCATTTCCCATGCTTAAACATATTTTAGAAATTTGTAAATGAAATTGTACAACAATAGGATATAGGCAAATATATTTATGAAAACAAAGGATAAATGGAAATATGTACACATATAATAACATTGTAATGAGAATTAGCTACTATTTATCATCACCTAGGCATCAGAAATATCTCCTTTGTGCCTTCTCTGCTTGTTACACTAAAAACACTTTTTAAGATTTCTGTAATTAATTGCAATTGTCTTCCTCCAGGGCATTCGTGCATGCTTTCATTTCTGCCTAAAAAAAAACCCTAACAGAATATCAAAACAAACACAAAATAACATTTCTCTATATGCAATTTCTCACATTTAGCAATCAATACTTCAGGGGAAAACTGTCTCTACACCTTTTAAAAGAACTTCATCTTTTTAATTCTCCTGAGTTTCATAGCATGTTGGCATTTTGTGTATTGAAGTGTATTTGTTTTGGCATTTTCTCCACTATTAGTCCCATAGGGCTAAAATTATATATGTCGACTTTGCTCACCACTATATAACCAATGTCAGTAGACACCTACACAGAACACCCAGTTATTATCCATTGAATTCTAGTTGAACACTGTAATGATAACCTGTAGGGTGTTATGTATAAGAGAAGAGCATACATAATGAAGATTTAGAAGTATATTTGAACATTTGTATGTTTTATTTATTTTACTCCTCATAACCTCAATGGTTAAATTTATCTAAAAACAACCCAAATCAGTCTAATATTTGCCCAAATGATTTAAGGGGAGAGGCATTTTTGTCTGTTTATGGTAATTAACAAAAATGGTGAGAATTTTAACTGAAAGAAGTGTCTGAACTGTGTGTTTTATACTTTAATCTGTTGATTTCTCAGAACCTTGTGAGAAAAATCTCACATTTCCTGATAAGATATTAACAAAACTGACTTAATTAATTCTAATTCCTAGGTGAGAATTTTTAACAATATTTCCTGCAACAACCATGACAAGAGTTAAAAATTGTGACTTCTGATTGTTGCTTATTGCTAAAACTCGTCATTTTGGATTTGCAGGTATGAATATAAGTAAGAGTGAGATAGCAAAGGAAACTTCATTAAAACCTTCTCGGAGATCCTTACCTTGCCTTGCCCAGAGTTATGCTTACTCAAAGAGCTTGAGCCAGTCCACCTCGCTCTTTCAGTCAACAGAAAGTGAATCTCAGGTTCCCACTTCTGTTACTTCAATTTCTGCTGACAAAGCAGAACAAGGTGAGCAACTCTTCCTGTTTTCTTCTTCAACTTACAAAGAGTGTCTCCTAAGCAGTTTTCCTTTATTAAGTCATCTCGACAGGATTTGTGTATATCTTTGGGATGGAAGTGGACATAGGACAACAATACCCCAGGACAGTATAAATGGTAATTTGGTAGTTCAGGATTGCTTTGCTTCCTTACCTCATAGGTAGCAAACTCCATGCATACTTGAACCTAATACTTACTGTTGGCAATGGAAAATGACTGGCAACTGAATCACTGGCTCTTCCCCAATTCTGGTGAGAACTTATAACTAGTAATTGGGTAGACTATCAGTTTCCTAACAAGATAGACCAACATTTGAAATAATAATAATAAAGCAGTGAAGATCTGATTGCACAAAGATGTGATTAATGAGTTGCCAGACAATGTTGACATTGAAATTTTAGGTAATACAAATGAGTAAAACAAAGTGTCAGACAGGTCTAGATGCAATACTGAAAATAGAAGATGGTTCTTAAAAACTCCTCCAAAATGTTTCCAATTTTAACACATAGCACTATACACCAGACAGTTGCTTTTTTACAGTTGTTTAAAGTCAAAGTAGAACCAGGCTCCTGTCATTCATTGAATGGATATGTTTTCCCATGCCTAAAAAGAATGCTTTCCTAACCCTGAGATTCTGCAAGAGTTCATTTTCTTGCTTTACGTGAAGACAATTCTGGTTGGATTCCTGAAACTGCATGCAATAGCTGAGGAGTGACTGCCGGAATTGGCCCCTGAGTACAGAGTCAGGAGTAAGTCCTGAGCACTGTCAAACATGTTCCAGAAATCAAAGAAAAGAAAAGAAAAAGAAAAAGACCAAGAGTCTCTTTTCAGTAATATCATGAAATTACTGCCTGTTATAAATTGTATCTAAACATGTCAAATAAAAAATGCTTAAGTAAATAAAAGTTTTAAATATTACACATGCGGCCAACCTGGGTTTGAATCCCAGCATCCCATATGGTCCCTTGAGCACCGCCAAGGGTAATTCCTGAGTGCAGAGCCACGAATAACCCCTGTGCATCACCGGGTATGACCTCTCCCCCAAAAAGAAAATAATAAATATTATATAGATATCTGTGTCCTTACTAAATGACATTTTTAATGACTTTTAGTTATTAACTTAAAATTTATCCATGCTTAACCATCATTTGGGCATCACTCATAATCTTTTTTATTTTTTCATGTTTATTTTTTATTTGGGGACATGTAAAGCTGTGTTCAGGGCTTACTTCTGGCCCTTTGCTCAGGGATCATTCCTGATGGAGCTTGGGGGAACGTATTGGGTGCCAGGGTCAAATGGGGTTGGATTTGTGCAAACCAAGTTCCTTACTCACTATACAAGCTCCAGTCTATCATAGTCATTTTATGTTGTTTTTTCCCACACTACAAGCGGCCAACATGGCCGACCCGAGTTCGATTCCTCCACCCCTCTCGGAGAGCCCGGCAAGCTACCGAGAGTATTCGATATGCCAAACACAGTAACAACAGAGTCTCCAATGGAGACGTTACTGGGCCCGCTCGAGCAAATCGATGATCAACGGGAGGGCCTTTACCTTTACAAAATTACTTATTTTAATTTATTTATCTATTTCAGTTCATGCTGAGGAGAATAAAAAGGATTCTGAACTCAAGTGTTCTTTTGCTAGCCTCAGTGATTTTTGCTTGGGTAAGTTGATTCCTAATAATTTTTTTCTTCTTTTCTCTTTCCTAAATATGTGATATTTTCTTCAAATCAGAGCATTATTTTCTTGAAAAATATTTTATGGGTGAGTACAAGATACTTATAAACTATTAAAGGTATTTCTTGTGTAGTTTGAAATTTGATATTTATAATTCAGAAAATTTTTTACCTAAAAAAATCCAGCAATTTCTGATTTATTTTTGATAATTTATTTCAATTTTCTTTAAATAAATGCACTTAAGTATTGCTGAGACATCAAATTCAAGCATTATTCTTTTTCTAGATGTTCTAACTTAGATAATTTAAGTCATTTCTATAACATTTCATTTTTTTCTTTTTCATAAACTATTATGTTTAAAATAATTTCAAAGAGAAAAGTTGCAAGAATAATATGTACTTCTTTGGTGGACCCTTCTCTCAGATCCCCCAATTATTAATATTCTATATTTGTCATATAATTGTATTATATTTACTTATTCTTAAACTATTTCAGAATGATACCAGACATTTTAAAATCATTTAATACCTGCTGTGTATCTCTTCTAACTAAGATATTCTTTATATCCTAGTGCTAGTACCCATTACTTTTGGATTCTTATTCCTTTAGTGCTGATTTTTTTCTTATCTGTACATTTACATTACCTTTACTTTGGTATTATAAAATAATACATTAGGGGTGTGTGTGTGTGTGTGTGTGTGTGTGTGTGTGTGTGTGTGTGTGTGTTGATCTATGTAATTTTCATGCATCTTTTTTCCAATTCTTAAAATTTTTATAGAAAATTGCCCATTTTTGTTTTCTTTTTCACTGTCTCAAAGCCTAACTAAAATTAAGACATTTTCTCTATATTCTGTTTCTTTTTAAAAAACTTCTTAGTTCTAAAAAAATTCAGTACTTCCCTTTGAACTGCCTTTCATCTGTGCAAGAGCAGGGCTAGTAGGGGAAAGGAGAGTAGGAACAGTTTTAGAAAATTGTTTTTCTCAATATAACTTTTGGGGGCATCTTTTATTAATTTCATGAATATAATATCTCTGCTCTAATAATATCTATGATCATATATTTTTATTATTTAAATTTAAATATATATTCCCATATTTTTTTTACTATCAGTATTATTATTTTAGGTTTAGAAATTCAGAAAATTGCTGATGTCTTTGATAATTTATTTTTATTTAAGAGTAGAAGAGCTGGAAGACTGACCTATAGTATTATGTATAGTCAATTTATTGAAATATAAATTCTTTATTAGAGTCAGTAGTTAGTAACTGCTTGAATCTTAGCTTTTGAAACTGAGCTAAGACACCATAAAGATTTGCATAACTGAATATAGAGGCTGTAGGACATATTAATAATTTTAGTTTTAGAATTGCGCTGAAAATTCTCAGTGAAAAGGAGTTAAAAATGGTAAAAGTTTAAGAAATCCTTAGTTAGATGACCCACTCAAGGTCAGATCACAAGCTGCAATTTGAAGTGCAAATTTTCAGGCTTACTATTCTTGTACTTTGAATTTTCTTTAAAACAAGTTAATATTTTTCTCTTTTATTGGTGTTTTATTATTATTATTGTTATTTTTTTGTTTTGTTGTTAAACCTTCAGTCTCTTTAAATTTTTATCTTTTTTTCCTTAGTCTACTTATTTGTAAATCTGTCATCTTTGAATCTAAAAATCTCTAAGATTTAGCAAGATTCCCCTTTCCCCCACATCACACAAATGCTAGGCTAACCTACTTCAACAATCACATTTTTCTTTCAAAATGCTATCTTCTAAAAAACAGTTGTATATTTTATTTTTTAAAATTTGTCATACAATGTGTGTCCAGGCGAAAGATTCATGCTATTGCGCAGTGGGTAGCACGTTTGCCTTGCACGCAACGAACCCGGCCAACCCAGGTTCGATTCCTGTGCCCCTCTCGGAGAGCCCAGCAAGCTACTGAGAGTATCTCACCCACTCGGCAAAACCTGACAAGCTCCCCTTGATGTATTCCATATGTCAAACACAGTAACAAGTGTCACAGTGGAGACGTTACTGGGCCCGCCCAAGCAAATCTATGAACAGAGGAAGGACAGTGACAGTGTGTTCAGGAAAGAAACAATATAAAAATGCCATAATATTTAAATCTGCTTCTTTATGAATCAATTGATCACTGTCACTATCCTCCCGTTGTTCATAGATTTGCTCGAGTGGGATCAGTAATGTCTCCATTGGAGACTTTGTTGTTACTGTGTTTGGCATATCGAATACGTCACGGGGAGCTTGCCAGGCTCTGCCATGCGGGCGAGATACTCTCGGTAGCTTGCCGGGCTCTCCGAGAGGGGCAGAGGAATCGAACTTGGGTCGGCCATGTTGGCTGCGTGCAAGGCAAACACCCTACCACTGTGCTATCGTTCCAGCCCAATCAATTAATATGAATGATTATTTGATAAGATGTATAAAAGTATGGATCCAACAAGTCAAACAGTACATCTCTGCGAGGAACCCAAAACCTAATTCTACATTTAAAGAAAAAAAAGCTACCTGTGAAAGTAATATATGAAGCAAATACATTTTGTTTTCTCATATCTTTGTAAATAGTTATGATACTTGGGTAGAGAAGAAAATTGAATATTCTAATAATAGGAGGGGAGTTAAGTTATAAAAAATTTTAATGCTAGAAAACACAGTCATTAATAAATAATATCATTGAGTATTTACTGGCACAGTTCTAAGTGGGGTAAATAAATATAAATCTAGATGTCTTCTCACTTTAGTTAAAAATACATTAGAAAACTAGAAGGAAACATGCCAATAGATCCATTAATACTGTCTATATCTATGTGGTGAGATTATTTGTGTTGTTTTTTTTTTTTTGTAGGAGTACTACTATTTATTCAGCCTCTGATTAGCTGATTGAATTGGGCATGAACTCCACCTTAATTTTATTTATTTATTTATTTATTTATTTTTATATTTATTTATTGAATCACTGTGGGAAAAGTTACTAAGCTTTCAGGTTTAAGTCTCGGTCATACAATGATCAAACACCTTTCCCTTCACCAGTACTCATTTTTCACCACCAAGAACCCCAGTATACCCCCCTTCCACCCCTCCAAATGCCTGTGAGGCAGATGATTTCTACTTAACTCTTCTCTACATTGATTACATTCATTGTTTCGACATTATGCAACATTGTTGTTTAGAATTTCTATAGCTGGTTATGAGAATCACATAATGTCACATGGCCACGATTTTGGATTTCTGCAAAGAGCCAGCTAATTATGAGATTGGTTTCCGTGTGTCTGGTGTTATGGCCGTGCCAAAGAGCCGCTCGTGGGGGGTAACTTATGACATCAGTAGGGCGTGAAGGATGTGCTGGTACTGCCCCCATTCCCATGAGACTGCAGTTGCTCCGTCACCACCGGGCTATAAAAACCAGCTCCCGGAACCGCGCGGCCGCATTTGTGGCTGCGCGACATCTTATTATGACATCTTACTATCTCATTCCTACTTTGGACAAACTGGCTGGCTACTGAATGTAGCCTGCCCACATGGCAGAGTCTGGCAAACTCCCCGTGGCGTACCCAATATGCCAAATACCAGTAACAATGATGGGTCTCATTCTCCTAAAGAGCCTTGAATATAATCTCAGGGCTAGGATGAAAGAGACGTTACTGGCTGTCTTCTCTGGGGCCCCTTGGAGGGGAGCAGGTTGAGCTTTCCTCCCCGCCCCGACCAGGGCTCCAGCAGCCGAAGACCTCCAGGACCAGCCACCACCATGCTGAGACCACTCTCCGCACACACGAAGGTACTGGCAGAGGGACAAAGCCACGCGGGTTCCGGGGCCGAGATCTCCAAGCCTACTCAAATTGGGGCCGAGCATCCTCCACCCAGATCCTCCAAATTCCAGTAGGCGGGGGTCACACCCACCAACTGGCCCCCTGGCGCCGTGTAATCCCATCAACGACCAAGACTCAGAGACTATAAAAACCAGCTCCTGGAACCGGGACATCTTATTATGACATCTTCTTATCGCACTCCTACTTTGGACAAACTGGCAGGCTACTGAATGTAGCCTGCCCACAGGGCAGAGTCTGGCAAACTCCCCTTGGCGTACCCAATATGCCAAATACAGTAACAATGATGGGTCTCACTCTCCTAAAGAGCCTTGAATATAATCTCAGGGCTAGGATGAAAGAGACTTTACTGGGGCCTGCTCGAGGCAATCGACGAATAACAGGATGATTTGTGATTTGTGATTTCCCTTGATTAGAGGTCTCGGCATAAGAGAAGAATTCTGGCTAGGGGGTTAGTCAGCTGGGAAGGACTTGGAACTTTGATGAGCCTCTGGTATTCTTATCAGGCATTCTGTTCTTACCTGAAGCTTCTATCCCAAGGGGATCCAGCCTTTTGGGTTTGGGTTCTTTCCCTTCAGGGTATTATCAGTCTTCACTTCCTGTAAAGGGTTGGAGGGATTGCACAGTGGGTAGGGCGTTTGCCTTGCATGCGGCTGACCTGGGTTCGATTCCTCCGTCCCTCTCAGAGAGCCCGGCAAGCTAGTAAGAATATCCTGCCTGCACAGCAGAGCCTGGCAAGCTCCCCATGGAGTATTCAATATGCCCAAAACAGTAACAGCAAGTCTCACAATGGAGACGTTACTGGTGCCCGCTTGAGCAAAATCGATGAACAACAGGATGACAGTGCTACAGTGCAACAGTTCCTGCAAAATCCTGTAAAATTCTGCAAAGTTGTCTCTGTCTGGGGTCCAGTCTTCCTGCTTTGGGGGCTGGCAAAAGGGCTAGAGACACAGTAACTTTGACGCAGTAACTTCTTTTTTTACATCACATCTTGGGTGTATGCTCCAAACTTGTTAAGCATCCCACATCAGCCCATATCAGCTCCAAACTTGTTAAGCATCCCACATCAGCTCCTCCCTCCTTCACCTCCACGCCTAAGTGCCTGTCTGCCCACTTGCCTGGCTCTGTTCTGTTTATCAAAATAGGAAATTTCCACT